GGGGAAAGAGGCTCCAACCCATGTTGGAAAACAAACAAGAATACAGACCCTGAATCTGAGTTCACCAATAACTATAATTTAAAGGAATTTAAATAAAATGGCACAATAGAGTCAGTTTGCTGTTGATACAGTGAACAGAATTTGTGAGACTCTGTGTTCTTCCTTACTTGTGAAACTTTCTGAACCTTAAACTTAACTGAAAAAGATTTCCACAAAAGAGCAAGCTTTTTAAAGAATACTGGCAACCCCATTTAATTTGCTAAGTTTAAAACAAGTTGATTATACAATACTGCTGATACATCCAAGTAGTGTTTGAATCTAAAGACGGAGTCCTTACCACAACAAATAAATAAAATTCAACTCTGAGCCCATGAAATTCCCCAGCCAACTTGAAAATATTGTTTGGAGCCATGGGAGATAGCAGCAAATCAATGCACACTAGTAGTCTATCTGCTAGAAACAGCTTTACTTCAGTTCTTCTCGGCTCCAAATTTCTCTCAAGGTTTACAACATAAAGATTTTAGCACCAAGTTTTCTTCCTGTATCACTTAAGTGAGATGTTAGGGAAGTACATTATGGTTAAGACAGAAGACATTACTCCAATAGAAGTAACTGCTAAGCTTCAGAGATGCACAGGAAAAAAAATGTTACTATGAAGCGCACAATATTCTTGTTTGTCTTTCATTCCTTCCTAAAGTCACATCCTCAGGCTTTTCTCATACAGAATCCACCAACCATTCACTGATGAACACTAGCTCAAGCTGGGAACTTTAAAAGCTTTCCTAACTACAAAAGGGTTAGAGAGGAGCAATAATGTCCCTGTGCATTTAACTAGCTTTGAAGAGAACAATGCTGCTTAAGCTAATATTCAGCGAGCACAAACTCCAATTTTACCCTGCAGACAAATTCACTTAGGCACTAATAAGTGAATTTTATATAGCATTCCCTCTATATTAATAAAATGAAATCACTTTAGAATGAAATTTCTCAGATGGAGTTTACTACTTCAAAATTCCTAAGTGCCAGTCCAGTCCTATTCCAAAAACACAGCCAAGGAATCGGGGGTGTATCAGAAATACAGAATTATTCCCACAATATCTCTATCACATATGTGAATCTCCCTTGAATCACCATACAGACACTGGCCTTAGCTATGGTTAAAGAGTTATATCAGCACAACTAACTATAGTTACGGCTAACTAGGATTTGTTCTTAATCATTTTTAAATCATGCTCAAAACCAATTTAATACTTCACAATGAAGCATGGTTAACCTTTACCCAACTGGTCCATTAGTGGAACTTTCACCACTATGAATGGTTATAAGTCATCAATATCTTGTGTAAACTGTTTTCCTTCTATGATAGATTGCACTGTGTGTGCTTTTCCAAAAACAATCATCTTGGAGGAAAATGACTCATAGCTGCTTTTTTCACATGATTAAGACTACTCTCCCATCATCTTTGAAAATACCTGTGGCACAGTTGTACAATATGCCAACAGTGAGGGTTATTTGCAGAACAATCCAAGGTCAGTCCACCAGACAATCAGGCTCATGGTGAGTTGTGCCACTTAGATCCACCTCAGACTTCCAGCCAGTTATCACAGGGAATGCGTAGTTAAAGCCACTTTTCTTCCTCTCCTTGCTACACATATGAACTTTTTTGCACTCACCATGGCTTCTTTCCCCCATGCTTTTTGGAGGGGGGGAATTCATTGTTCACAATCTTCAAGCTGACAGCCACTAACAGCTCCTCCAAATTTCCCAAGCAGCCGCTGGAATGGTTGTCACTGGCTTGTCATCCCTTCCACATTTCTCATGACACCAAAAAATTGTGCTCATTTTTGTCACTAATGTGATTATTTTGGTCAGACTTGCTTAACTGTGCACTTTGGAATATCTGCTGTCAGGGTGCAAGAGGCACCAACCATGAATATTGATGCATAGAGGCTGTAAATAAGTCCATTTAAAAATTTTGCCCTCTCTTGACAGTTCTCAAAAGGCAAGCTGTTAAGGGAAAAGTTATCTTTGCTTATGGAAGGGTTTGGCCAGTAGATCACCTCATCTACAATTAGATCTTCCAGGTTTTTGATTAGACCTGACATTTCAGTGTTCTCAAGCTTTTCTACCCTTTCCTGAGACTCTTGGTGCTTGGCAAAGACTATTTGCAACCCCACTTCTGGCAGAATTTTTTATAATTCAAAATTTTCAAAGAAACTCCACTTTGGTATTTTAGCCAATTTTAAAAGAGTACAAGGGTAACAAAACCCAACAACTTATAATTGCTTTCTCAGATTTTTAAGACTCCAGTTTATTGTGACCATGTAGAACATTTCAGCTCCTTCACAGGTACACAACAAATCTAATGAAAATTTAATAAGTGAAGCATTTCTCTCACTTGTGTGAATAAGGAAGTACGGCAAGATCAGATAGTAGGGATTTGTAACAACCAAAATAAGGTCACTGACCTTAATCTACATAGAAGAGATCACAACTGCAGCCTACATGCCTAATCTGCTGCTGACATACGGTTGAATTCTTCAGGTCAGAAGATTTAAGCACTGCAGCTTGACCATGTTGATGAGAGGGCCAGGGAGTTCAATCAGCCTCATGGTCAAGTTTTGACATAAAGGGAGGACAGTACAACTATCTGCACCCAACTATATCTTCTTTCACTGGTAACAGCATCCTAGAGAGGCTAGGAAGGACAGTAGGATATGGAGAAACAACTGCAGGTAAAAGAGTCCTGTTCATACCTACTAACTGCACTGCTGCTGTTCATCTCTTCACCTGGCTGGGGAAGAGATGTTAAGATGACAGCCATTGTCCTAGTGTCCACTATCTTAGAAAAAAGTTACAGGCTGCTGTAAACAATGACAAACTTATTTCTCAGACTAAGGGTCCATCTAGTCCAGAATTCCTTCCGCACAGTGGCCAAACATTTGCCCACAGGAGATCTACAAGCAGGACATGGGTGCAACAGCACTCTCGCATACATGATCCCCAGCAACTGATGTATACAGATATACTGTCTCTGATATAGGAGGTAGCATACAATTATCAAGACTTGTTGCTGTTAACAGCATTATCTTCCAGAAATTTATCTAATTTCTTTTGAAAGCCATCCAAATTTGTGGCCATCACTGCATCGTGTCATTTTCACACAAGTTTATTCACAAGTCCTGCTAGAAATGCTAAATATGAATTTCTAAGCATATTTTTGAGTTAAGAGGTAAATCAGAGCATTTGGAAAATGTGAAAGCTGATTAATTAACTTAATTAATTAGTTAATTAACTTCTAATCTGAAAGTAAGTTCAGGAGGTATGTATCAGGTCAACTTCATATTGGATTTTATTTGGCCAGGGTGGCTTATTTTATACCGTATGTTTGTATTTTTAATGTTTATATTTTGATTTATATTATAATTATTTTAACTTATTGTTGTAAGCCGCCCCGAGGCTTCGGCGAATGGGGCGGCATAAAAATGTCTTAATAAATAAATAAAATAAATAAATAAATATTAAAATTCTCTAAGATTAAATTATTCATACATCCAAGACATACATGACATCTTTGATTTTCTTGGATTGGTAGAGCATACGCAACTAGCTAAATGCTAAAGGAGGAGAACTTAAGATTGGCCAAACACCAGCAGTAAAGTGAGGGGGGAAATTATCGAAATGGATTGGGAAAGTAAAGCTGAGAAAGAGGCAAGATTTATCTTTTACCCGAGATAACAATTAAGCTCAGGCGGCCTCAAGATTTAAGATTCAAGCCATAGCATGAATAATCTAAAAATACAGCCCAATATAAATTGGCACCTCTGATATTCTAAGTAAATAGCTCAGTTTTCGTCCTAAAGAAGTCTACACATGAAGGCTGGGAATGATTATGCTTTAGATACCAGTATCCAAGGCAAGGTATATGCAGGGAGGGGCCCCAGCTCTCTCACAATACAATCTGCTCAAATAGATTTGTTTGGTTCTGAGGAGTAAGACTTGGCAGTTCCAGAATTACCTAGTGAAGAGTCTCAGGTAGAATGTGAGAACAAGCCTGCCTTGGCAAAGGAGGAACACTTCTCAAAGCTGAGTAGGAAGAAAATGCCATGGAATTCCCTTGACCTGACAGGCAAAACCAAAGGACCAATCATGAAGTTTCAGCATACCCAGCATGTAGCCCACAAACAGGAGAAGCCACACCGAGCATGGAGTCAGCTACTTTGCTGAAGGAGGGGAAGTTTCAGTTTGGATTCAGCTCTTTACATGGGCAGACACTTCTTGCGCATTTCAAGGCGAATGCTACTCTGATTTATACTGTTCTGTAACTTGTTAAGATTTATTAAAAGATTTATTAAAATAAACTTCTAAAGCTTCATCTGAGTCTGCTGGCTATCTTTTCAAATGATCCAAGAGAAGTAAGTTTTTGAAGTCAGCAATGGTTGGCTACAGAAAAACTGGTTTACTGTTTAAATTGTAATTATTCTTTCTTTTTTTAATCATTGTAAGCTGCTCTGAGAGTCACTGTCATTATTCATTGTAAATAAAATGAACTAACAAACTCAAAAACATGACTAGATGACTGAAAACAAAATTCCTTCTTATCATGCATCTGCACACCCACTATGAGACAGATCACATCAAGCTTAGAGGGAGTGGTTCAGTGAATGTGGAGACCTTGAAACTGATTAACTAATAGTGAGTTTTATGGTCTGTAAAACAAATAGATGGAATAGGGGATAATATATTTGCAAGGGGCTGTTGTAGGCAATAACAGATTTGAGTTTTGGTATCTATAAGTAGTATTAACAGTAAATTTAAGAGCCAAACTGTAAAATACAGAAGACATGGCTTTAAAACAGGACATTTTACTAGCCATTAACCAGTGATGGGAATACTTTATGAAAGCAGAAGGTTCATCAGGAATGCATTTGTTAGTTCCCATTTAAATCAAAGGATAGTGCATCACTGGTTTTATGTACAGAAAATGCTCACTAACTTACCTCAAGGTCACAGTTGTATTCTGTACCATCCAATAGTACCACTTTACACTGGACAGTTCTGATCTTCTTAGAAGGCTTTTGAACAGCTCTCTCCAATTGTACTTCATTTGTCTGTACTTCTTTGGTATCCCTTTTGCCTTCCTCTGTATCTTGACTACCTCCCTTTAGTTCAGAAACAATCTCTTTACTGTCTTCTTTAGCAGGCTGCACAAGAAAACGAATATTTAAATACAGTAAGGCAGCACCTACAGAATGTCTCACTCCATAAAATGCAAAAAAAAATGCAACATCAAAGTATCATTCATGATGCTCATATTTAGAAAAGAAAGCCAATATTCTCTTCATCTATATCTAGTGTAATTCTGATGTTTCAATAGTCTACTTAATTTTTTTAGAACAAAGTTTTATTAATGTTTCCATACAAATATAAGGCTACTCTGTGGGTAGACTGGAGAGCCATTAAAACTAAACTGTTTTTGCTCCTTATATACATTATTAGCTCATCCCATAGTACATTAATTGTACACTATAACAAGCAAACCTGTCCATCAGCATACGGAACCCAGGCAAAGGCTTGGTACTTATACGAATCTTATTAAGTTACATGTGCAAATGCACATGTATCTTCTTATCTAGAAAGAACAAATTATACACAGGTAAACAGCAGAGCTAGCCTAGATATTCCAATTTACAGCAGGCCTCCAACATTATAGCATTTAAACAAACCTACTGCACACAGGTCATTAAGGGCAAATCAGCTTATTTTATGGAGCACTTTCCATAAAGCCTCCTGCTTTACAAGGGACACCTTTCTGATTGTTTATCATTCACACTAACTGGAAACTAGAGTGCAACTACTCTTATCTCCTTTAGTTTAATGTCTCCTGCTTACCCTGAAGTACAGCAATCACTGTGAAAGCTGGAAGGTAAATCACTCTTGTCAACAAATAACCTGCTTGAAAGAGAAACCTAGATTTTTGTATACATGTGGTCTAGGGACTTTGAAGTGCTTGTTAGACTTAAGAGTGTAAGGGCTGCTTATGTTCCTGCTTACAGTTTGCAGAGATGGGGTAACAGGTTGAACAGAATCCCTGTTATTTCAAGGTATTAACTGAGCCATGGGACCATTCGTGGATGACCCTCTACAGACCAGAATGCCCTATTTGCAAAATGTAGGGAGCAAAATGGAGTCCAGACCTGCTAAGAGTGCCCAATGGGCAATACCAGTTTGTTTGCAAGTTGCTTTTGATCCTTTTGGGGCTCTATAACTACTACTAACTCTTGAAGAGTTAATTTTAACAGGATTTAATTTTTTTTCTTGTAACAGCTCCTGGTGGTGAAAAATGCTGCTATACTCCATGGGTCGCAACTACTGAGCCTTAAGAGTAATGGCTTCCAAACAAGACAGGATTTAAGCCATGGTTTAAAATTTGTTTCTAAAGCATGTTTAAAACCATTAGCCATAGTTTTCTGGTTTGGCCATATTGGAAAGCTATGGTTAAATGTAGCTTCTAGACTTGTTAAACTTATTAAGCCAGAAATAGACTGTCCCAACTCCTGAAACATCCTTGCTCAAATTAACTCTTGGCTCCTTTGAAATTGCTACATTTCCCCCCAATCCCTTTCCCCTTAATATCATTTTGTAATCCAAGAATGGTTGTGTGAAACTTTAAAAAAATATTTAACCAGTGTGAGATTAAAAATTTTGAAATAGTTTGAAATTCATATGTGAATATACAGTCCAATAATTTGAGGAATTTCTTGAAAAGAATGCTGTTCTAAGTAAATTGTAACAATCAGACAAGTAAGACAAACCATTTCCCAAGAGTTTGGAAACTCTTGCCTGTATGTACAGGCATACTCAGGAACTGTGCTTTGAAGGAAAAACCTCTCTCTCTCTCTCTCTCTCTCTCTCTCTCTCTCTCTCTCTCTCTCTCTCAGCATTTAGTAAGACATCTGAATGAGAGAGAAGAGTATTAGGTTGGCCTCTAACAGTGCATTTTTAACAGATATAACACTGTTTTAAACATTTATATAATCATCAGACATGGACTCTAAAGAGTTCAACACAGGGTCAACAGCGATGCTCAGGAGTTCAATGAAAACTGAAAGACAGCAGCACTGCCTAACTATTTTTATATAACTAATCATTGCAATAAAGCCAGCGATTTCACTGCAATAAAGCCAGTGAATAAAAACATTGTTTTATGTTTCAAGCTTGTATCTAAAAGCACTAAAGCTTGACTAAAACCTAAGGGGTTAACCAAGCCCCCAAATTTGTTGCTTTTAAGATGATATGCTACTTGGATTCTGCAATTACTTAAGCTCCTTTCTTCATTCTGATACACTAATGATCCATGCAAGAATCAGAATATGCCTTGCTACCAACAGCAGATTATGAGCAAAGCTCAAACAGAATATGCAAGCTAGCAGAAGCTGTCTACCACCTACCACTGAGGTCACTAAAGGCTGTGTATTAAGATTTCATTCATTTGCTTTTATTTCCAGAGTATACCTGTGTCTCAGCACTAACAGCAAGTTTCTCTTCTTTGTCATCAACTTTAGCTTCTCGCTGATTCTCAGCAATGTCCTCCAGTTTCTTCTTAGGTTGAGCTGCCTCTTCTGGAATGGAATATTCACTCTGCTCTGTCTCTTCTTCTAATGCTGAAGGCTGTTTTTTCATTTCATCTTTGGATTCTGTCAAGCTGTATGATTTTTGTTTCTTAAGCCATGGTGGGATGAAGCGAGAAATACCCTTTCCTCCTGACCTACTTGGGCTACTTTGGCTAGCTGGAGCCTGGGTAGCAGGAGAACTTTCTTCTATTTCAGATGACGACTCTTTTTGGATTTCTGGTGCATCCCCAGCATTTTCTGTCACTGTATTTGCTTGCAGCTGTTCTGACTCCTTTACTTCTGTTTCTGAAGAAACTTCAGTTGTCATGATCGCAGGACACACTAGAAATACAATTGATTTCTTAATTTTAGAATTTATTTAGACGTATTGTGCTTGTAAGTTCCTAATCAACCTACACAACAGCATTTTCCCCCAACTATGGACTATCTTATTAACCAATAAAGTTTGAAAGAGTTCAGGTTACTGAGGTCAAGAGCTACTGAAATTTTTAGTAAGAATCCAGAATAAATCCTTACAGAAAGCATGCAATTCCTCCACTCCACATGATTTTTGGAGAATCCTAGGACAATATTTACAAGTTTAAGCAGCCAATCCCACACAAATGGTATAGATTTCATATTCCTAAACATCAGTATGTCCTATCTGTGTGAACAAGAGACTGAAACTTTCCAGTCTGCTGATAGTTCTTTTAATCCAATCATTCAATGTTCAATTGTAACTACTCCATCACTTCATTTAGATCACACCAGAATGCCCGTTATCAGTACATTACTTCTCTTAAGTTGCAATCCTACCTCTAGTTACCTGGGAGTAAGGCCCACTGAACTCAATGGAACTTACTTCTGAGTAGACATATGATTGCACTGTCATAGAAGTTCAGAAGATAAAACACAGTATTGATCATAATGTGTTACAGTCTGGCACAGATTTTGGGGCATAAATTAAAACTTTTAAGGAAGTCTATCTTTTTTTGGAATTTAAATTTGGTCTCCATAAACTAAGAACATTTCCCAAAAAAGCTGTAAAATAAGAGTGACTGAAGTTTTGGATATATCAATTCTAAACTTAATACATTTTCACAATTATGTCCTGTCATATTAACCCTATTCAGGTATTCAGTTTCCTTCACAGCTGAGCATATGATCTGTCAACATAGCTGTTATGTAGCCCTGCCCCAAAGTCACATTGCTATGTAGCCTCAGGGCTAGATATCAGTGTATACACCATGAACACCTGCGTATAGGGGCCTTCATGTGTATAGTTAGCTGTACAGTAAACTCCACACAAGCTGGAACCCTATGCCATCATGTTTTCCAGCTCATATGGAGGCCTATGTATGTACAGCTGTAGATGTGGGAAGTCCCTCTATGCAAATTCTTGTGCTAGATCTTTGGACACAAGGCTACGTTATGTAGATGATACAGCATGGTCTTGCTTGTGTATTGCATGTACACAAGTATTTATTAAGTGTCAACATCAGATACAGATTAAGAAACAGTATTCCTCCCTTCTGCAACCCTTGCTAATGCTAACCAAATGAAAGTCTTCTTAATGGCACATCTCCTAGTCATCTGTGGTTACAAACTTTACTATGTGCTATCTTCTTCACCAGGGGTGGCATGCCTGCATACACTAGTTGATGAGGAGACTGGGCAGGCAAAGATCTTGCACCCATCCTGCTTGAGCAATCCTCTGAGCACCTGGCTGTCACCATGTATATAGAATGGTGCACTACATGGACCTTTTGGTCAGATCCAGGATGGTTTTTCTGTGTTTCACGCTGCCAAGGCTGCCAAAATTATTATTGCTATTATAATCCTAGCTGGTTGCTTTTCTACAAACAAGATGATTGGGGAACACAACCCTCAAGAGTTATCTTATTTGACGCATTGATTTTACTTAAATTTAAGTAAACAAATCTTTAAAAAGTATGCTATGTTAATTTTTTGTCCCAGTACACAAGTATTTGACCTAAAATATTTGAAGAAGAGAATTAAAGCACATTTAATATGATTTTCAGGTTCCATAATAAAGATATTTTAATACTTGTAAAAATTTGAATAGCAAATACTTCTATTATAGTTTTAAAATTTATCAGTTACTTAAAGTGCATTAGTGCACTAACAGTTTTAGCAACCTGAATGGTTGTCACCATATCTACAACTCAGAAACTTCCAAGCTTACTACATATAGTATTTGCAATTAATCCATTCATTTTTACTAATATGTTTATGAAATGGAAACTTTCTGCAGAAAAATAAAGCACTGGAAAAATTTTTATATTGCACCACTGCGCCACAGATTCTGTATTACTAGATATACAGCAGAGAAAGAAGGAATTTATATATGTCTCCTTGTTCTGATAGCACCCACATGTCTGCAGCAAGCAAATAAGAGCAACCTTGCTGGATCAGGTCATTGATCCATCAAATCCCAACATTCCTTACAAAGGCCCAGAAACAGAATGTGAAGAGAACAGTTTCATCCTTCTACTTAAAGCATGTCAGACTTTTGTCTAAATTAACCTGATTAACTATTTTTGTTGTCCTTTGATATACTAGGGTGGGAATCTTTTGGATTACATAGTTCTGATCACAATCTTGATAGGCAACCACATGGTTTCAATTTATTCTGAAAAACAATAGGATGTGATAATCTGCAAAATGCACAATCACTGCGATAAAACTACCTCAAAGTTCCAAACTTGATGAATGGACAACACAAACTATTAAAATAAGTTTGTTGTTCTGCTAATCAAACTTTTATCTTCACAGGCCATGTCAATCTCAAAACAGCAAATTCCAAAATGTACACACACAGTGATCAGGCTTGGATGACACAGTTCACCAGGAGTTAAAATAGGAGGTGTTATGTTTGAATATGAAATCCATGGAATGGGCACCAGGCTGAACATGCAACCCCTGGGACACACACCATCAGCCAATATGATTATGTAAACTTGTACTGAGGCTGTCGTGGTTTGCCACATTGTCTGAACTCAAGCAAGAGGTTATTTGAGGTTTAAATTCTGCACAATCCATGGTACTTTTTAGCACTAGACAATGACTGCTTAAACTCCAAAGAAATCCAGCCACCCAAGTTCAGATGATATGACAATCCACAGTAGTCCCTAGCTGAGAGTTGCATATTGATCTTTGTGACTGCTGCTTGCCAGAGCTCCATGTAGGTAAACTCAAAATAGACTATCATAGTACACAAATCAGCTTCATGGACTATGTGAGGGATATTAATCTTTATATAATCTATATCTGTGAATCTGCACAACACTACAAATCCTAAGCTGCATATTCAAAATTTGGTTGGTTATACACACTGGGTGCCTGCAGATGCCACAGTCCATCATGGCTTAAATAAGCCACAGTAAGCTGATTTAATTATGCAAGCCAGGTTAATATGGTTGAAAAAGATATGTGCAGACTCCTTGAACATGTTCAACACACTCTTACTAAAACAAAATCATTATAATCATGACCTTAACACCATATTTGTATCCAGAATATTTCAGCATAGCTTATTATACTATTTTGTTCATTTGTTAAAACAGACTTTAAGAATGCATCAAATTTCATAAACCATTAAAAAGTGCTTGCTTAATTGTCAAATAATTAGATGCTTTAAAATGCAGATTTAATTGTTACAATATAGTATATCAGCATTTATTTGCCACTGGTCACACTTTACATAGTAATGACTCCTATTTTGAAATGGCTACACTTTCCTAACCATTAATATTGCTGTTTGCAAAAGCAATTACCGAAATGGTGCTAACATAAATGGTTTGTTCTCAAATTATAGCAATTCCAAAATAAAGGCATTCCTTTAGCAACCAGGACTTCCTCTGATGTTGACTTTGGAGTTAAATTCTTCTCTCAAAGAGACATTCAGCCTTTTGGTTTAAAAATAGAGGGCTGAATCTTCAGGCAAAGAAAGCCTGGATAAAATGTATAGGTAAGCATATATATTCCTTACTTGCATGATACTTCTTTGGATCATGCATAGTATGAAAGCAATGGTTAGAGCTGACAGTCCAACTATCACATTTATATCACATTCTGAGAAACACATTTGGAAGTATGTACCAAGAATTTCAGCTGAACTTGCAATTTACAAGTGTATACCTCAGAATCAGAAAACAGGTATGCAGAATCATGGAGGAAATGAGTACCCATGGTCCCTACCACACATGCTAGTCACGTGTCAGGATACTTTGTAGGGTTCTGGGGGTGGTTTGTTAATCATATTTGTTAGCAAGCAAGTTCACATAACATGATAAGCCATGCCAATGAAATTAATTATGTAAGCTTCACCAGCAAACAAGGTGGGGGAAATGAGCCACCATGGATTATTTTCTTCTCAGTGATCATGCTTACAATCCCACTGCCTTGTTTTGTTAAGATCTTGAGTTGTGATTATTATGTCTACCTTCCATGTTTGCAACTGTGAAATCCACATTCAAAGGACTTATTGGGTATAACTGTCTTTTGGTTACCCTGTTGTCCAATGTTCAATAGAACTGGAAATAGAGATGTTGGCCTGAGCAGATATTGTTTTAATGTAAGACATACAACTTGATAAACAAGTAGCTGACTTAGCATTGCTATTTAATCCAACACAGGCACACACAGATGAGTGGGTTGTTAATATATTATATGAAGCCTTGGAGCTGAAACTAATGTTGCCATATTTCTAGCAGAAATGAATGCTGGCACTTTCAACAACAAGAAAGCTAGTACAACAAGAAAGTAATCCAAATTAACACTTTCAAACGAAAGAAGTTATGCAAGTTCCACTGACTTGCCCCAGTCTACAAACACTGTTATGCTCATTTCTAGGACTGTACAAGCAAGCATTGTGTGCTAACATTCACTTTTGTTACGACAACTTGTTTAGTGGTAAGAGGCTCTCAGCGCAGGATACTGCTAGCATTAAAAATTAGCTTGCACTGCTCAGAGAGCATAATTTCTATACAGATTAACTTGAAGCCCCAGAGGAAAAACTACACAGTCCTTTTTGCTTCCTTATATGCAGCAGGTGGGTATGGTCCACTTGAAAGGAAGTCAACTGAATGGTTTTGCATCATTATCCCCATTCTCCCTTCCACCTAGCAGGAAAGAGAGAAACAGAATTCGGGATATCCTTTCCCATCATATGCTCCATGAACCTGTTCCTTTCCAAGGAGGAGGTTTGCAAGGCAGGTAGTGCTGGTGTCTAGGAGGGACTTGGGATGAGCCACACTGTAGACACCAGCTCACCCTCCAGTCCGTGGATACGGTGGCATCTGTGAGTGTCATGTCATCTG